AATTTTGTTGTGGTTTAATTGTAGATGTAAAGCAAGTAAGCGTTGTGAAGGAGGTATTGCATGTGTCGACAGCACCATCTAGTGCTGTGTGCCGTGAAAATGAGCAGAAAAGGGTCTTTGATTTCTGTAAGGCGTGCATAGAGCAGGAAAAGGCTGGGAGTTTGTATGTGTGTGGGTGCCCGGGGACTGGAAAATCATTGTCGATGGACAAAGTGAAGCAGTGTTTAGTTGATTGGGCAAAAGAGGTAAGTAAAACTGAATTTATTGTTTTTAGAATAAATGATTAGGTTTCTTTTGAATAGATGCTGTGAATTTATTGAGTCACGGTTGATTTTCTGTATATTGACACAAGAAAACAACATGGATGCTTGTAATCCCCCCTTTGTGCTGTGGTCTTTCCTTGCCTTTTTTACCTTCATACACCAATGAATTATGGTGCTTTTTACGCTAGTCTATTATTGTTTGTAGAATGAACGAGTGGAAGAACTTAGGTCACTTATTTTCTTGAACTCAATAACTGAATTATGGTAATCAATCTCCTTATAATGTGCGCTCCCCATGCTTTTCTTATTTTTTGCTTGTTGCTGTGCGTTTGCTTTTTCCTAATTGTCAATGCTCATCAAGTTATTATCCTATCAGGCTGGGTTTCAGCCTCCAGATGTACTGACCATGAATTGCACTTCATTAACAAAAACATCTGAAATCTTCAAGAAGGTATGGACAGACAGTTCTATCCACTGAATGCAGTATAATAGCATATAGATGCTACAATGTTTGCTTAGTAGCTGTTTTGTCTTCTCAGGTGATGGAGCAAAACCAGCCGGGGAAGAAAATCAATGGATCTACCTCACCTCTACAACATCTCCAGAACTTGTATTCGCAGCAACAAAAGTCAATGGGCTCCAAAATGATGTAAGAATCATGTCATTAACACAGGCTAATAAATTGTCATTTTTTTCTCAATTAAATGAGGCAGTGCAATTCACTGTCAAACGTACAGAATATAATGGTCTCAGTTATCCTCATGGACATGTAAAATGGGTCATGATGCATGCGAAATCTATTCGAATTAATGAGTTTTGATGCATAATTTCGTGGATTATACATGAATAAACTTCACCTGTTGCAGGCTTATAATTGCTGATGAGTTGGATTATTTAATAACCAAGGACCGTGCTGTTCTCTATGATCTTTTCATGCTTACAACTTTCCCATTTTCTAGATGCATATTGATAGGTAATATTCGTCACAAATTACTTATCTAATGGTTCTTCACTTGGTCTTTTGGGTTTTAAGTCTTCTTACCACATTCAAACCAGAATGAACTCTTTAACCTTTGCTTTTGCAGGAGTAGCAAATGCCATAGACCTAGCAGATCGCTTTCTTCCGAGACTGAAGTCATTGAATTGTGAGTTCATTGGTTGCTTTCTTCAAGTTGATGAATTTTTTCTACATCCTCGTGCAGATGCTTGTCCTTGATTCAATGTCATGAAATTAAGTTATTAGCATTTTGCATTTCAGCAATGATTGTTGTTCTGTTCACTCACTTGTCACTTACTAAGCATGAATTTGGGTTTGGTACTTACTGGTGGGTTCAAATGTGCATTCTTTCCTGTGGCAGGCAAACCTATGGTTATAACTTTCAGGGCCTATTCCAAGGATCAAATCCTCAGAATACTTCAGGAGAGGCTACTGGTAATTTACATCCTTGTATTTCACTTTTCCTATATGCATGAGTCTGCTTTGTGTAACTCACAACAATACCTGTGAAATTTATAGTTTTTGAAATTGTATGGATACATTGCTGACATGTAATAACTGCTGCTCTGCATCAACAGGCAGTGCCACACACAGTTTTTCACCCACAAGCAATGGAACTCTGTGCCAGAGTAAGTCCCTTTTTTTTTCGGTGCACTTTTGATGAATTGGTTTGCTTTTATACAATTGATCAATAGCCTTTCTTGACTTCTAACAGAAAGTAGCAGCTGCATCTGGAGACATGCGTAAAGCCCTTTGTGTTTGCAGGTCATTGTTTTCTCTCTTTTATCTATTCATTTAATAGTCTTCTTTTGCATTTATATGTCACGGCATAAGGCTTACCCTAATTCAAATTTCTGATGCATGCAAATGACAGAGGCTGGTTTTTTGCAGTGGCATTTGCCAGCTTTTCCCAGTCGGGGCTTTGGCAGTGGCAGTGTGTATAACTTTTTTTAATTATTTTTTTCAGGAGTGCAATTGAGATTCTAGAAGCAGAACTGAGAGAATCTACGAGCATTCTAACTTCTGATGAAGAATTGTCTCAGCAAAAGACAGCTCCAGCTTGTATTAAAACACATGAAAATGACATCGTAAGTGCTTGTTATCATTTCGAATTATTAGTTTACAAGCGTCAATTTTCATACATCATGCTATTAACTTATTGCAAGGCCACCTCATATTGCCAATACTCTTGCATTTCACTATGTAAAAGACTGTTGTGTTCTTTTTCAGTCTAATCATGCTATTGACTTGATAGTTCCAAATTAAATCAAGAAGTTGCTTTCTTAATTTTTTTCATGCTAAATGTCTCCCTGAACTTATTATAGGTGATGATTGATCACATGGCTGTTGCTTTATCAAAAGCTTTTAGGTCACCAACAGTGGACACCATACAGTCCCTCCCTCAGCATCAACAAGTAAGTTTGGGCCAGTAACTTTGTAATTATTGATTTGCAGATATTACTTGCATGATGTATGAATTTAACATGATGATTCTTTACCCGCGTTTGTACAGTGTAGTTCCTTTTGATTCTCGTATAAAAAATGCAACCCATTTAGATTTCCTCATTTCTTTGGGGGACCTGTTCTATTGTTCAAGTGTCAAGATTCCAGTGTTTAATGACATATAAACTGCAGATGATACTGTGCGCTGCTGTGAAGTTTTTCCGTGGAGGAAAGAAGGATACTACAGTAGGAGAGGTGTGCTTTCTTTACTTAAAATAATGATTAAGGAACATCTAGCTGTTGTCACTAGTATTGAATTTGTCACATGGATACAGCTAAACAAATCTTACATGGAGATCTGCAAATCAACGATCATACCACCGGTTGGGATTCTGGAATTCTTGAGCATGTGCAGAGTTCTAGCTGACCAGGTACAGATAGAAAAACGCGTGTCCAGTTTTAGTTCATTCCAGAGTATTTTATTTCCGTGAAGCAAAATCAATACATATGCTCATATAAAAGTGTGAATAGCAGACGGGAACTAAAGCACATCATTTTTACTGAATAACGAGATTCACCAACAATGGCATGATATTGAGAACATTGTGCAGGGGCTTCTTAAACTAGGGCAGTCTCGTGATGATAAATTAAAGAGAGTAACCTTAAAAGTAGATGAAGCAGACATCACATTTGCATTGCAGGTATGGATTCAAAAACAGAAGCTATTTGTTTTTATTTGCTTATGCTCCCCGTAATCTTCAATTGGATTCTTATCATCTTAGCATGTGTGTTTGGTCAGGGAGTCCGAGTCTTTCGGAATTGCCTTCAGTGATGCAAATAATTGACGAGTACAAGGATTTTTTCTCTCTCTCCTCAACTTCATATTTGGTCGCTATCTATCAGAGCACTCCACCTATTCCAAGGTTTGTAGCTGTTGATTTTGCGAACGTGATTTTGTAGTTCATTGTTTCTGTAAGTTTTCATCGTGTAGTTTTTCTTTCAGAATCAGATGTCATTGCCACACCAAATCTCCTGGCAAGCCTATCGCTGAGCATTCTCACATGTTAAGGTGAACGCATGATGGAGACATGCAAAAAGCTAAAGAGAGATAGCAGACCTGGATTGCGTAAACCGTTTTATTTTCAACCCAAATGAGAGTTGCCATTTACAGAAATATCGACAGGAAAAGGACTCATTCAGTACAGATTTATAGTAGTATGCAAATTAAGTCACTGCTTTTACAATAGCTGTATTACATTTCATGAAGTTAGTAGAAAGATTTTGATTCTGGTCCCCCCCTGCAATAACGAAGGGAAAAGCTTCTTCTTTATTTTTTTGTCCGCGGTGCAAAACATGTATTTCAGATAAATTAAACACAATCTTTAGGGTATAATTAAGCTATTCAAGGTTTTAGGGCTAAAATTTCCGCCCCTGCATCTAAATAAATCCCTTGCAGATGACATGGCAACTGAATATATTTCTGGCGTTAATTGTAATGGAAATAAAATGCCAATGGGACGCCTTAAGCATACAACGGAAGCAATTAGCGCGCCTTCGCAGTTTAATGGTTAGGATAAGGACAGAATTGGGAGATTAAGGAATGATATATTGGTATTCTCATAGCACAATCCAAGTTCCCTTTTAAGACAGCCAATAGAAATCTTGAATAGGAGGGACAGCATTGGATTCTGTGTGGTTATGATAATAATTAAGCTAATTGATGAACCCGAGTCTAAGATTGTGATTTCTTGATAAACCCGAGTTTAAGATTGTGATTTTTAGAAGTTAGATTAAGTTTCAAAGATTTCATCGGATTTGTTTAATTTCTTTTTTTAAGTTGATTTTTTTCTTGTTTTTTTCAATAACTTGGTTTTTAATTTTTTATAGGGTTAGTCGAATTTATAATTAGAATTATTAGTTTTAAGGGTTAATATAAATTTATTTTTGGATTTTTTTAAAATTGATTTATTTAAATTTTATCATTTATTTTTTTTAGTTTTTTTATAAAATTATTATAATTGTAAGCATGTTTTTTTTTAGTTTTTTTATAAAATTATTATAATTATAAGCATGTTTTTTTTATTTTTTTTTATAATTTTATTTTTAATATTTAATTATTTGATGATTTAAATAATTTCAGATAATTTTTTATTTCTTTAATTTTTTATTTTTTCTTCGTATTATTTACCAATTCAACCATAAACTCGGGTTTCAATTTTTTTTTAAAATCCTAATATTCTTTTTTTAACGTGAAAAAAAAAACTGCCCTGCGCGAGCATCAAATATAGTAACAGCTACCTATCAAAGGGCTTCTTAATTAACGTGTTCCATTCATCACTGCCAATCCTCTATTTCTGCCTCTCTGAATTTTCATGGCAATTGCTACTGCTTCTTCTTTCTAAGGTTTAGTATATCTCATCTCTTTTACTTTCCCTTTGCTTTTATATAGTATATGTTTTACGTAGCTGCAATTTAATTTTATCGAACTTCAGTTCTTGCCTGCATCCTCTTTATCTCCGATGAAATGCCTTTTCGGTGACTATGAATTATGCACAAATTAGATTACAGTCTTATTTATTTGTCACCTGGTTGCTAGGATCTTATCAATCCTTTACTGTATATAATGAGTGACCTCTTTCTATTTTTTTCTCTGCGTGAAAAAATAGAATCCAACTCTGTGCTTTCCAATGTTTCATTTATGAAGATAAATGCTTATTGCCTGGTGGGGTGTAGTCTCAGTGGGGGATTACTAGTACAGTAATTATTGGTTCCATCTTGACAGAAAAAAAGAACTAGATTCTGGAGTCTGTTGTCCAACCGATTTGAGTAACCCTATCGGTATTCGATGGCCTGGTTGCTGACAAACAGGATTGACTTGTAACCCTGGCTCTCGAATTGATTTTTTGAAACCGTTCTTTTTAGGCCCCCCTCACCGTATTTTTAATGGTTGGTGTGTCTATATCGTTCTTTAAAAGCTATTGACTTCAACAACCACTTGTAAGGACTGGACTCTTCTTGTATGCCAGCCATAGAATCGGTTCTTCGGTGTGAATTGAATAGCCAGATGTGTTCTGATTTCGTTGAATTTAGCTGAGAGTGAAAGAATGAAGGTTACATGTAGATGACGGGTGCATGATTTTTGGTATCGTTGAGTGATGGGAGCTAGCACAAGCCAAATATGTTGATGAATTGTAGATAGGCTCGAGTCCCAATTTCACCTCTTCCATTCAACAACAAGTAGAATTTCATGCAATTCACGAGGCATTTTATTGTCATTAGTTGCCACATGACATATTTCAACTTGTTAACGTTTCACTTAATATGCGTTGCATTTATCCAGGGGAGTGGGCGTTGGTAGTAGCATACAAGCTCAAGTAACTGGTAAATTAGGATTATACTCTTCAACAAGAATTTAGCTATGGGCACCACAAAGTGTAAGAATCTATCCCTCCCTTCCTGCACACAAGTTATTATGAATTTGGATGTTAAGTTCGACTTGGATGTTAAGTTCGCCATTTGTTCCAGGTATTACTCCTTACATGGACATGTAGAGATTGTGGCATGAGAAATCCAGCAAATGGCTAATGCAGTTCAGGGTGTTGAGGCAACACTAGAGGGGAATTCAAACTTGTGAACAAGAGGAAGCAGTCTCAAAATTCTTGCGCGCTGTGTGCGCGAGTGAAGGTGGCAGAGGTTGATGATTATACACATAAGATGCTTAACAAATTTCACCTGGTGGCATGGAGAAGGTACCTGACCAACTCGATACTGCACAAGGCGAGGGCCAATCCTAAAGCAGATGACGTACCCGTTATTCTTCCAGAACAACTTTTGGAGGCTGATGGTTTCTCCTTGGTTTTCCTTCTCTTTTTGGTGTGATGGCATCCTAATTCAAAGCCTTCTTTGATGCAACCCATGAGATATTGGAAACCCAAGCTCTTGCTGGGAAACCTGCTGGAATCTTCTGGACTACTGGTTTCTATGGAGGAGGCCAGGAACTTACTGCGTGAGTTGATTCATTCTTCAACCTCTACTCTCAGAACCTTTTTTTTTTTTTATCTTTAAATTTTTTAACTAGTCTAAGCTTTTGGAGGCAACCAGTATTATGCTACCCCACGCATTGCAGCAGGGTAAGCTTAAGAGAAGTAGGACAGACCTTTTTTCTTCTGTCATCAAGAGATTAGTTTGTTCATCTCACTCTAAGAGCAGCTTTTCCATTCAACCATGAAAAAAGAGGAAAAGACACCATTCCAATTGAGCCCCGCACAAAGAAATGCTGCCAAGGTTATAGACAAAATTGCATGAATGGAATGAAGGGAAAGGAAATTTGAAAGTTCACTAGTTTTCTTTGCTTGTATGATTCATCTTGCAGTGCTAATCCCGTCATCATTGATGAATAATCAGATTTAGGGCAAAACCGTGGCGACTTTTAATAATTTATATCATTAGCTACTGTTTTTTTTCCTCTATCGCATGTGTGCATATACAATGTCCTATGATCTCCCCACTTTCTGTAAAATGCCAATGGTCACTTAATCGTTTGTTCATCTCCTGTTTGCATATTTACAGCCATAACGCAGCTAACACATCATGATGGTATGCTATTTTTTCCTCTGAGTTACACCTTCGGCAGTGGCATGTTTGAGATGAATGAAGTGAAAGGTGGATCTTCTTATGGTGCTGGAACTTTTGCAGCAGATGGGAGCCGTCAACCCACTGAATTAGAACTCCAACAGGCCTTTTGCTAAGGAAACTACGTTGCTGAAATAACGAAGAAGCTTAAAAGTTGTGAAAACTGAAACGTCTTCAAAATGTTGTAAAAACTGATCAATGATCTAAGATCATTTCACTGAAGTTTAATGGAAGAAGATGCTTGATGCTAAAGAGAAGTATGGTGTTCTTCGGTCCATCAAAGCTATGGTTTCTTGAATATCTTTCGGAGAATTAAACTTTGATCTGTGAATTCATTTCACCAAGACAAAGGGTCAAGGAACTTGAAGCAAAAAATATATCTTGCTCCATGGTAAAGGTTGCAACTCGAAAGCAACGTGATAGTATTGTTGCTTCTCACAATTTTATTTCATATCACGTAATTTTGTTTGTGTACCAAAACAAAAGAGGAATAAAAAAAATAGAAAGATAGAAATATAAAATAAATTTATTTTTGAGAAAGTTTTAAAATAAATTTATATATTTTTAAAATAGAAATCTTTTATCTTTTCTGTCTTAAAACAAAAATAAAAAACTAAACTATTGTTTGGTTTTGTATTTGAAACTATATGAGGTTGCATTTCAAAAATGTATTTAGCTTGAAATAATATTTTTTAATATTTTCCAATAATTTTGATAGGTTTATATAAAAATATAAAAATATTTAATATATTATCAATTTTTTTTTTAAATCTACATCACCGTACTAAAACAAACTAAGTTTTTCGAATTCGAACGTAGCAAATGAAATTGCGAAAGCATAAAAAAAGTGGACTAATTTGTAGAATTAGTGAAGATGAAAATCTCTTTGGATGCAATTTGAATTTAAAGAAGGGAGAAAACTATAAACGACCTCGTTTTAACCCTCGATGACAGAGTTGAACAAAATTAAACAGAATCGCGTCTCTCCTTCCCCTGTTTTTCTCTTCTCTCTTCGATCCTGTCACCTCCAATCCCAGAAAAGGAAAAAAAAAAATGGAGTCCATCCTGCGATCCTTAACGGGTCAAGACCCCAACCCGGAGGACTACAGAAACGTCGACTTCTGGTCAGACCCAGAACGTTCAGGCTGGCTAACAAAGCAAGGAGACTACATAAAAACCTGGCGACGCCGCTGGTTCGTTCTCAAACAGGGGAAACTTGTGTGGTTCAAGGATCGAAACGTGACACGGGGGTCAATTCCCCGTGGGGCGATCCCCGTGGGCAAGTGCTTGACCGTGAAAGGTGCAGAAGATGTGCTTAACAAACCTTATGCATTTGAGCTTTCGACGAGCCAAGACACAATGTTTTTTATAGCAGATTCGGAGAAAGAAAAAGAAGAGTGGATCAATTCGATTGGGAGGTCAATTGTTCAACAATCTCGGTCTGTTACTGATTCTGAGGTTGTTGATTACGACAGCACTCGCTGCTGATTACTTTGTTTTTGTTGTATCAAATAAAAAAAATTAGTTAGCTAAACTTAGTACCATGTTTGTTTTTGTTGTTCCTACTGTTGTGTATGTAATGATAAATCTTGGGGTATTTCTATAGTTTAATCTCAAGGGTTTGCATGATTGATTGTGGTGTTTCCTTTAATTTTTTGCAATTGAATTTGGATACTTATTTTGTGACTCAACTTCGTTGTTTGATTGTGATTATTGAGTCCATAGGTGATTTCATGAGTGTTAGAAATTCAGTCAAAAAGGAACTACTGGGATTTGGATCTTGTTGATTTTTTTCTTAAATTTATTTGTTTACTTGAGAATGAGTGCCTGTGTTCTCTGTTAATTCATTAAAAAGAGCCTGCATTTCTAGTTAGTTAATGATGCCGGTGCTATTCTTTGGTGGGTGATTTTGTGGAGGGATTTGTTTAGAATTCATGGTATATTATTATGCACATCAAGACTGTAGGGCTTTGGTGAGATTTTTGTTTAAAATTGGAAGAAATTGAAATACATTACTAGAGATTGGAGTTTGGTTCCTGACAACTTTTTTCTGGACAAATAGGTCAGATTATGCAGACTGATGATGAACTTCTTAGTTCTTCAAAATGCAGTTGAACACTCAAGTACATTATTTTACTTATTCTGTTAAATCATTGAAATTCTTTATGTAGTTGTCATGAGGATCTGGTGGGAGTTTAGATTCCTGAAAAGGGTTTAGGAAACTGTGTTGATTTAATATACGAAGCTTTATGTGAAAAAAATCTGATATTGAAAACATATGCTTTAATCCAGTTGAACTCATCATCTACCCTTAAACTTTGATGTCCTAGCTCAGACCATAGCAGCAAGAACAACCTCAACTTTCAAGCACGGCAGTTTTGCTAGTCGATTGAAATCAGTTTCAGTCCCAGTAAGCCTGTTACCTGACTGAAGGCAACTAACTTGCTGCGTCATTTTTCCAACTGGCCTTGCTTGATTCAACTTTGGACTTGATAGGCTTGGGTTTCTGCCGGTAATTTAGTCCTCTTCTACACTAGCTCTACGCACAAGTTGTGGATCTTTTGTTTGAAAGTACTTGTTCTGCCTTAGCCATTCTGACATGCCATCGCTGGATGTCCTGGGTTGAGGACTCTGCCACAGCCATACAAAAACAAGCATCTGCAACTGTTGTTACTGTGGAGGACGTGCAATTTTACCATGGGATTTTTACTTGACTCGCATTTTTGCTGATTCATTAAGGCTTTAAGGAGTTAGCAAGCTAGATTGTTGCCAAAAGCTAAATGATTGTTTTTGCCTCCAGATTCTTTGAAGGGAGTTCAAATTTCTTGATCACGTTTGTCCTTCCAAGTACAGCCACATCTCAAAGCTCCCATTAGGAAGCTCAATGCAAGTGGAAGGTTCAGTAACTAAACTGCATTACTTAGATATACTGTTGAAAGTAGTTGAAGTTTTAAAGAGAACCCAGTATCCAGCAACATGAAACGAGATTGATCTGATAGATGAAGTGCCGTCTATCCACATTCAAGGTTTCTTAGTAATGGACGATGTCTCAAAAAATTACAGTAGGAAAAAACATAAACCCCTACTAGCCAGCAATTGAAGTTTTTTCTTTTGTCATATTCTGAACCCTAAGATTCTTGACCAAGCACCAAAACAAGGAAAGATCAAGCTAAAAATCCTGGTAAAGATCCTTAAAACTCTGAAGTCCGTTAAGATTAACAGAAAATCAAACCAACAAGCTCTGCTTGATATGCCACGTGTCAAAAACCCACCACTTGATGTTAGATCCGCAAACTTCTCATTCCTCAGCCTTCCCAAATTGAATATAATACAGCCTCCGCGCTCTTTACAGATACTAAACGTCTCTTCTAGTTCAACAAGACCCCAGCTTGTGTTAGCAATGGAGACTTTAACTAGCTTGTCCGCCAAGGTCTTTACAAAAAACAATAAAAAACACTGTCACGATCAAGATCAGCTCTGCTTTGTCTATCCGATTTTGGTTTTTCTCCGTCTCCAAATCTAAAGAGACTAAATTTTAATCATTTGATTTTGTTTCGACGCAGAGATGCTCCATTGTTGGTCGTGAAATCTCACCCTGCACCTGATGCAGAGGTACCTTATTTCTTTTATTTTCATTTCATTGTGTATTTATATCATTTTTTCCTTTGAACAATAAACAGAATTCATGTGTGTGATAAGAAAAAAAAACTCATAACTTTCATATATGAGCATGGATGAATGCACAAAAATCTATAGTTAATCATGGATCACTTCCGTTTCCTGGATTATAAATTATCAAGTGGAAACATGACAGGATCTCTTAGTCCGTTTTCCCTCTAAAGATACTCACATATTCAATGTTAACGAAGAGTACTCGCTATTTTCTTATAGAAGAATTAGCTGATGTGAAGAACTTGAAAGTCATAATTGTGATTATCAAACAAAGAAGGTGCACTAAATTCTACGTTCCCAAGTGGTATCCGTGGTCCAACAATGCAGTAGTATAAGATCAAGATAAGGCTGGAATTCTTGTTTTGTGCTGAAGTTCTTTTCATCATAGCTTAGGAGCTTAATTGAGTTCATTCAACAAGTTTCATATTGATTGATTTAAATTTTCAAATAGGTCTTGAATGGCTTCGACACTGCAGTATCCGGAACCAAAAAATAAGTTATACTGTGTTATATATATTCTTCGATCCAAGTTCGTGCTTGCTCTGATTTCAGAACAATGATTGTAGCTTCTCTGCTTCCCAGCACCGGAAGTTCCAGTTGCAGAAGGAGTGTGTGTTCAGTGAGCAATTTCTCCTAGTTGGGGAAGATCGAATGGTTGGTCTGTGGGATCCATCAAGTGCCATACCACTCAACTGGTCAGAGGGCCACACATGGAGTGTTGAGCTGGTAAGAAGGAACTATAAAAAAAGCTACTAAACTGGTATTCGATAAGATATACGATACAGAATCTGGATTCTGGCAGGATGTACGCGTCAATTTGACGATGCAATACAGGTTTATTCTTAAACGAAGCGCAGGAGAAATCGTCTGGCGGCCTGGTCCAGACACAACTTTCAAGACATGGGAAAGCAATAGCAGTATAGTGATTGCTGAGGATTGGGAAAATGCTGGAGCTCAAAAAGTTATTGAGAAGGAAGTTATCAATACTCCAGATTTGGAGATTGTTGTTGCTGTAAATGTTTCTCATAGAGGGGAGGAATGATCATCTATAAAGATTATGTTGTATCTACTACCATTTAGTGAAGCTGTTCTTGAGGACCTCCAACATCTATGTACACCAATTGAAGTTTATATGTTGCTCTCCATACACTTTGAGGAAATCGTTTCTAGCCTGGTTTTTAAATTGACAAGCTGCACAATTTTTTAATCTATTCTCCAGCTATGGAACAACTCTCACAAGATTGTGTCTCTGCATGCACATCGGTCCAGTATGATGAAAATACCCAAGCCTTCTATGCCACAATTCTTCATTGCCTGTATTTATGGCAAAAGCAATCTACTCCTCCATAAGATTCAGAGCAAGACCTTTTGCTCTCATTTTCACCTTGAATACATTGTTGCTTGTTCTCCATATCAAGCACAATTTGTTTTCAAATACGACTTTGAAACCTTTTCCGTAAGTTGTTCATCACTTAGAAAATTCTGATCAATCTCAGGTATATATATAACATTTGAAATGTATTTCAAACTTAATAAGCTGTCTATAACAATAATTTATTTGCCTTCGACTAAAATATAATCACTATTTTCAATTTTTACTTTGAAAATAGTAGTTTTGTCAAACTTGTTAAAAAACTCTTAATTATTTGCTATATAGTTTGTGCAACCACGATCGATCAATCAAGAATCACTTGAATTGTTGCTTGTTACAAAGCATGTTGCAACAAATAGCTGCTCCTCTTCTGCACCGTTTGGGAACATGGTGCAAACGGTGTTAAAAAAAATAATAATTTTTTTATTTTTTGTTAAAATTTAATATGTTTTGTATATTTTGGATCATTTTAATATGCTGAGGTCAAAAATAATTTTTTAGAAATAAAAAAAATATTATTAGCATGCATTTCATTACGAAAAGTTATTTGAAAAACAACTACAACCACACTGCCAAACAGGCTCTTCATGTTGTTCAACAATAGGATTTTTTTTCTTCTTCATGTTGTTGTTGTGATTTGTAGATTCTCTCTATGTGTCTAGTTTAACCACATTTCTTGCACTTAATATCTGGTCTTCACTGACATTTTATCTTCTAGTGATTTGTTTGTTTATTGTAAGGACATGATGGATATTAGGGGTGAATAAAAAAATAAAAAAATTGATTAAACCTAGAAAATCAAAAAAATTGAATCGTAAATTTTTTTTGATTAAACCAATTAGAATTTTAAAAAAACTAATTGATTCAGTTTTATAAGCTTGAAACCAGAAAACAAACTGAATCGAACTCAAACCGAAAAAAAGAAAAAAACCGAGCCGAACCGAAAAAACTGAATCAAACTAGACCAAATCAAGCCAAACCAGTTTGAACTGGTTTTTTCCCCAAAATAACCAAATCGAACCAAAACCGTTCGGTTTGAATAGGTTTTGGTTTCTTTTTTTTTTTTTAAATTAGTTTTAATTAGTTTTGGTTACTTTTTTTTTTTTTTAAAAACCAAATCGAACCGAAAATAATCACCCCTAATGGATATGATTCCACCTTGTTTTTGTCATTTTTAACTTTTTCTTCTTCTGGAATCTCTTGTCCTTTCTTTCTCCTAAGCATTAAGCCCTTGCTTGAAAAGCCCTTTGCACAAATTCCTCATGTCTCATCAATCTTCTTTGTTCCTATGCTCGAAATGCATTTACCAATTCTCTTATGGATATATTGATTAAGTCTTTTGATTCTTCTAATAAAGAAATCTTAGACTTATATTTTTCAGGTATGGTTACCAATATTTTTTGCACAATTCAGTCATCATAAAATTCCTTTCCAAGCAATCTCACCTTGTTTATTATTTTTAGTAACTTGTCAGAATGGTCTTTGATGCTTTCTATCTCCTTTATTTTTTTACATTTCAAATTCTCTAGTTAAGTTGAGTACTTGCATACTTTTAGTTCTTTCATTGTCCTGGTATTTCTTTTTAAGATATTCCTATATACCCTGAGCAAACTTTAAATTCATGATTCTTGTGAATATTGTATTTGACATATCAGCATATAAACGGACTTTAGCTTTGGACTTCCCTATCTTCTTTTCCTTGTGAATTATTAGTTGAGCTATTATTGAAGGTAAATCAGGAACAATATAATTTTCTTCTACAACCTCCCAAAGATCCAATGCTTCAATATGAATCATCATTCTAATGGTCGAGGCTTCATAGTTATCACCATCAAACATTGATGGTGTACCATGTGAGATGGTTGAATCAATTTCCATTACTTTGATGTTCTTTTTGGTTTTATATTTGTGGTTTGGTTTGTGTTTTTGGGTTCTCTCAACTCACAAGTCCCTCAAGATGATTTAAGCCTAGATATCAATTTGTTGAATCCTATAATAGATTGTGTAGAACAAAACATAAAGAAAGACAAGTTATATGGAGGATTGAATTTTATTGATTGCATAACTCTTTTAAATTGAGTTTTTTTTTTAAAATAATCAAATTTGCTGATTACATAAGAAACTTTTAATAACAAAGTGAGAAAATAATAACAAAACTTATTCTTAAGGACTTGATCTTCAAGTAGAAATCTTCCAGCTAATCATCTCCTTAACAACCCTTCTGATCTTCTGCAGCTTTTAAGGCATTCTTTCAACAAAGATAAATTGCCTTCGTAAAATGTTGGTTATTGGGTTAGGCCTAGTCTGTCCATTAGGAATGGTTCTGGTTCAAGTATTTAGAGGAGTTACTTAACCGCTTCCTTTACTTATATAAATAAAGACATAACCTATATGAAAAGTGAAGTTTTCATTGTTGAAAAAACATAATTCTCTCTTTCTATTCTCCCATCTTGACTCTTTGTATTATTTTAACAAGATCTATGAAAACATTCGTATTGTGGGATATCATTTTGGTTTTAGTAATTAAAGTGGCACTAAAGTAACTGACCTAGGAATAAGAGAGAAAATTTGTACAAGTAAGTTTTCCTTTCAATTCTACATTAGTAGCGAAGCCATGATTTTAATATTTTTTTAATGTAGTACATCCATTATTATATAAAGGTTAGATGTAAATTTTTTGTTGAAAGAATGCTTCCATAGAGTTTTGAATTTTCAAAACTTTAATGAAGTAATTTAGTTATGATTTTGTCTTTTCTATCATTAATTATAAAGACCATTTTGCAAAATAAATGACAGTTGTATAATTGTTATTTGTCAATAAAAAAAACTATCGATTAATTGTGTAAATTGGTAATGGGAATGAAGATTGAAAACTACCATTTTCATTTTCAATAATTCTAGTAGTTAATTGGAAATTGCCATTTGGCAATTGAGAAACAAAACCCCAAAAGAACACATCTTAATTTAAGACATGTGTAACTGCCATTGGGTGGTTGAAAAAAATAAAATAAAAAATAAATAAGGCAATTAATATTAATTCATTGTTAATATAAATTGTTTCATTATGGTATCAATATATTCTTTGTTAAAATAAATTATTTAATTTTTGTGTCAATTTTTTTAACAAAAAAGATGATACATACCATAATTAAATATTGATTATAATATTTATGTGCTTGTGGAATATTTTGTTGTAGTAGATAGGTAACATCAAATTGATTATTTATTGGGTTATGACATTAATCTTGTTCATAAAATTCAAGAGCACATTAATTATATGTATCATTGGATTAGTAGACTAGCTATGAGTGATGTTTACGACTTCTACATGAAATATCAAATATTAATCGTTCTCAATTCTCTGCTTGAGGAATGGATTTCAGTGCGACTATAATTGAAATATATGTTGTAATCCTTAGATTTCAACAATCTTATTGATGAAATGCTATTTAAGAGGGAACGTCAGTATATTGAAAATGATATACGACGTATTGGAAGAAATGCAAGTTGTTTGGATACTGCTGCTAAATTCATTTCATGGTTTGAACAGAATGAACTTGGAGGAGATGACTTTGATGAAGTAGATGATGTAATTACAGACCCCACTTATACACCTACAATATAAAACAATTATGAAATTTATTATTATTAAAATTATATATTTTTTATTTCAGTTTTTTAAGGATAATTGGTTGTTTATTTTAAATTGCATATTTTATATAATTTAAATTTTAATTACATTATATGCATGTATATGATATATCTGCAACCTATTATGTAATTTAAGTTTTAATTACATTATATGCATGTATATGATAATATCTGCAACTTGATCAGTGAGAGTTGTTAGTTAGAACTAATAACTATAATTTTGCATTCATTTAAATTTTCAATAATAATTATACCATACAAATAAAAATTGATTAAGTGTTTAACATTCTTGGTCGCGATAAAAAATCAAAGGCAGAATAACAAGTTGAGTAAGGGGGCAAAATGGAAGGAAGAGAGGCTAAGCATTAGACATTATTATTTAATTTAAAATGAAGTGGAAATACATGTCATTTAAATTATAGTAGATAACAATATGTGTAATTGGTGTCAATAACACTTAATATGACTGCATCTAAGAGTATTATTGCTGATTTGAACCATGAAAACAAACTAAGTGAAAATAATTATGATGTTTGGCATCATAAGATTGAGTATCTCCTGTAAAAGCAAAAAATGTTAGAAATAATCACATAATTAATGACTGAACCTGAGCAAAGAAACATTGTTTAACACAAGCTTGATGTGGAAACATATAAAACTTATAAACACAAGGATCATGAAGCTCGTATTTTGATGCTGAGTAGCATGAGAAATGATATAATGCTACATTTTGAAAGACATTATTTAGCTCAATCTGTTTGATACATAGTAAAGATTCGGTATAGAGGAATCTCCACTATTAGACTTCTTTAGTTAACCTTTAAATTAGATGGTTATATGAAGCGCCAAAATCAGATGATGAGGCAACATCTTATAGTTATATCTAATATGATTAGTGAATTAAGAGATGTTGGACATGAGATAATTGATGAACAAAAACTCCAAGCAGTTATCCACTTTTTGCCAAATAATAAGGAACCTATGCGTGCTAACCTTACCTACAATGATAAATTTGATGA